TGTCGGACTGTTCGCATCGTAAAATATTCGTGAACTCGTTCTGAAAACTGCGCCATTAATCGTATACCGCGAAATCGTTACACTTTAATCAGTGAGCGTCTCCGTCGAATGTAAACTCATAATTTGTTAAAATATACTAATGTATTACAATATCTATTACAACACTACATGCCACCAAATAATTGTTTTTCGTAAAATTGGATTGGAAGTATTAATGTTAAAATATTCGAGAGGTTAACCGTGTGATAGGTAAACGTCGTTCAGGTCGTTTCAGTTTCTACTGAGGCACGCCGTTCGTAAACGGATCGAAAGTGTATATAGCGAACACGTTGCACATAATAAATAATGGTATAATATACTTACCAAGTTTGCCGACATAACCATCACAGATCTGTGCACGCGGGTGCGATATGATGATGAACGCGGCTTCGTAACTTGAGTTTTGTCCGGCCGGTCAAAAGTTAGTAAATATAGTTTTCAATACGGGAAAATGCATTGTGTGGATACTGGATAGACATACATGCGTTGCGGGACAGATGCTGCCAGCAGACTCAAAATCATCGTTGCACCGCGAACGAGATTATCATGCAGAAGTTTCGCGAATACCGGTTACCGGGTTTTTGAGGCGAACCGCATTTGAATACAACAGACGGGAGCAACTCGTGGCGGTATAATATTATATTATTATCTTCTCCGTGGCTCGAGTATATTATGCATAAAATATTATTTGTGCCGTTTCCATGAATGAAACGTCGTCCCCATTTCGGACCACGCGGACTGCACTGCTGGCGTCCTATAATACGTCTTTTTTTTCTTTTCGATACACGATTATATTCAGAATCCTATTACTATAATATGCTACATACTGAAATAATACACGAAGACGACAACGTTGACGTATAATATTCTCCACCGACAATGGGAATACAAAAAATAATAATAATACAAAACAGGACGACTGGCGCATTTCGAGTCGGACGAACGACCGTGGTGTACCTATATTATACCATTTGATTTATATAATATGCTAATCGCGATGAAGGTTGTTTGTTGAACGTAGAAAAATTCTGTTCACCCCGAGCAAAGTTGTTATTCCGCATGTTTATCGACTGAAATGGATTGTCCACTTATCGATAAACTCAAAATAATGTCGGACATGTTGTTTTATTATTATCAAAATTAAAATTCACTTGTTTGGTATTGGTTGAAATGCAATATTCGAATTCTATTTTACATACAATTTTAACGTCATCCTCCGATGTAGACACGAGTGCATGGCGAAGACGAATATGACTTGAACCACGGTATCATACACATTACACGACACCGTGAAATTTCAGCTTACCCGATGTTTACTTCTCTGCGGGAGGTCGTTTTTTTGGTTTACAAATAATTCCAATACGGTTTTTTTCTCGTTGTCCCTTATTGAAGCGTTTATATTATTGTGTTACTCGTGATCGTATTCTATATGAATCAGATCGCCCGTTTACGGCACACTTAAGCACATTCTTAAGGTCACAGCAAAAGACGTATACATAAAAATTTAAATATAATATACAAATGGACGTTTTTATGTGCACCATACGGTCGACTGTCAATTGTAGATTATATATATCTATGTTGTTATTGGAGATGACAAAATATGTCTTATCAGTGAAACGACGGTGGCGGCAGCATTCCAATTAAACTGGATTAAAGACACCTAATGTAATAGGTATCTATTATATTGTTAATATTAAATAATATATAGTCAAAGAGAGTGTCCGGTACAAGTGTACCGCCGTATACCACGACGCTTTTGATTAAATAATAATAAATGTGATGCGTTTTATTCAAATCGTACGTCGTCCTTAATAATTTTAAATCTGTGTCCCGCGCCTGTACACGATCACGACGGCGACGGCTGCGGAGAGTGTGGCGTGGATCGCAGCGGGTGGAAAACGTGAGATACAAAGAACCCGATAACCCACCGGACGGACGGACACATCGGACAAGTCGATTTATTTAAAAAGAAATAATAATAATAATAATAATAATAAAAAGACCCCGAGATCGTCTAGAAGAGATAATAGCATGTCGGGGACGCCAACGAGAGTCGTTCGTACACATAAAACATTTCGACCGTATCGCGGGGCCCGCGCCTTGGATGCACCACCGGAGGAGCTCGCGACAATGAATATAACTACTACAACAACTGCACCGGTGTGTCGTCGTATGGCAGCAACACGCACACACGAGAATAATGTGACGACGAGATTGTTAATTATTATTATTATTATATTATATTTCCTTGCCAGCGAGATTGGCCGAAGACGGAATACCGCGACCAGAGTATATACTGACTACATACAGTATTATACGCACACCACGTACACGCGTACTGCGTACATCGAAATCGCTTTTCAATCTATTTTTCTCGTCTATTGTGAGCCGCGTGTGTTTCGTTATTATGTATTTATATATATATATATATATGCAATATAATATATAATTCATATCGTTATTATTATTATTATATACCCTCGTGTGAGCGTGTGTGTACTGTGTAGTCTTGACGATTTGTCACGCAAACTGTTAATAAGCGCGCACAGCACAACACACGACGTACAATATACGTCTCGACCACGTCGAGTTGAACGTACCCGTCCGACGTCTCCAAGGTACCTGTGTAATAACGTAAACCGATTCTGTGAGCGTATGTGTACGATTTTTTTTTCTCTTTTCGAAAATCGATTCGTTTGGGTATAATGTAATATTGTGCCATGTATTACGAATGACGATGTAGTAGACTAACGAAACTCTCTGCACCGCAGTCAAACTCACCCAAACTCGAATATAATTTTCACTGGGCACACGTCTCGCTGTCGTAAGGTCCAATAAACGTGCTCCGTATAGAAATATCATGACATTTATATGACACGTATAATGTATATGTATGACGAACAGAGGAGGACATCGTCACCACAAAAGCTGTACATGACGATTCCGCGTCGTTAGACACGACTGTGCAGACGGGCGGCCGATATAGAATTATATGGCCGACGCGTTTTGTTTGCCGTCGAAACGGGGAGCAATGAAATTGACGTACCTATGTGTGTGTGGGTGCATGGGTGACGCCTACGACTAAATATATTATACGTATATGCTATACACACGTATATGTATATATAGGGGTGGATGACTGCAGGGGATGGGGTGTGGTTATTTGCTCGCTATTCACCTCGAGTAGGAGAAATACTGGCTTGCAATTTCAGAAACGGGATTATACATTTCGTACATCTTCAAATGATATATACACATATATATTATATTATGTGTACTTTGTATGGGGTATATATATATATATGTATATATGCATAATATATTATTATACGGACGTCGCGGTCGTCGGTGGTGACGAAGAAGATAACGAAGTTTTGTCATCGAGACGACGAGACATATATATACATATACATTATACAATATGATATATATAGTAACTAAATTCGTTAGCACGACGACTCGTCATTTTCAATCGTTTCGGTTCGGGTTCCGCTGCAATTACCGGACCCCTTATTCTAGTTTCGTTTTCGGCATTGGGCCGAGATATTGCATATGTATTAGGTATTATATAGGAATTCGATTTCATCGTCATAGCGTACCCTCGTCGTATACAGCAATCAACGTTCAGCAACCGGTAATGTAGTTTACCCCCGAGATCGGAATAGGGTGGAAAGTGAAAACTGTCATGATGCATTCATCACGTCACAGATCGTAAATATGTAATAATATTCACCGAAATCGTTCTGGAGTTTGTCTGTCCAGTGTACACATATATTATATACTATATATATATATATATATATGCATAAGACATGTAACCATTTTCAACAAAAATATATCATATGAATGCATACATCTGTTCTCGATACATTCCCGAAGCACCCCATATATTTTGACACGTCTGACCCACGCGTGAAACGTACGCAACAACACTGCGCTAAAATACTAATCTTTGGCATGTGTATTTTTCTTTGACCGGAGCGTTCGTGGAATTCAATACGAATACACATTGTAATCATTGTATAGAACAGAATACTATAATAATATAGGTACCATAATATACAATAGCAATCACTAAGGCTAGGATTGTATGCGTTGGTATGTTCATTTTGCAGTGTCTTTTTACAAAATATATAGTTAGTAATATCCATCCTCACGAATCACAGAAGTACAAATTATTTATCTTTTACTGTGCAGCGTAATATGTATTATTGTTGTTATAGTATTGCATATTTGAATTATGGATAGAAAAAAATCATGTTTGCATTATATATTTAAACAACCCGAGTTTAAATATAAAGACGCATTGTTATATTGAGCTGGTGACTTAAATTCCGTAACATCGTTGATTTTTTCATTGACTAAAAGAAAATGTTCATGTGCCTATTAAAAATGTTATGGGTTTATTAAAATAACTATTTAAGACTGACAAAAATTATTTAACTTTCATGAAAAATTACTTAGGTTTTCTTATTCTTATCCATTTAAAAACTAGCATAAGATGCTTCTTTACCTTCGATTAAAATTAATTTGTAATTTTCTCTATTATAGTTATAACTAATACGAGTAAGTGATAACTAATCACACATTCACTCGCTTTGATAAAATATATCACTAATATATCATGTATATTGTATTGGGTACATTATAAATATCGTGTCAACGTTCCATCTGGTCTCTGATACCAAACGTATATTTACGTCGTTTTACCGGGTAGATTATATTATTATTTGAGGGCTCGGCGAATCACCGCATTGTATGATGAGACCCCGACTTTATATAAAGTGTCAATTATTATTATTATTTGCAAGTAGTATGTAAACCAGACCGTACCTAGGTGTATTTCTTCCCCCAAAAATTTGTTATGAACCTTGTTGCATGTCTCTTATAGTCCTACCTAACCTATTATGTTATTGGACTGCAAAATATTTACCCGTTTTTGCATCCGTGTGTTTCAGGTGTTGAGATACGGTCATGAAGTTTCGTAACCACTCGGAATTGTCATCGTCACGCAAGACTCGAGCGTGAAAAGGATCCATTTTTGTTGGACTACAACCGCGAACGCACGCGCCGGACGTTACCTAACCAAGAAGTGTCGCAGACATGTGCTCAGCTCCGACACTAGTGGCGGCCGTGTTGTTAGCGGTCGTGGCCTCCGCCGTCTGCAACATGCAGCCGGTGGCCGTGACGAACACGGCGGCGGCGTTGCCGGGGGCTGGGGCCGGTGTTGCGGCCGTGCCGGTGCCGGGGCGTTGCGAAGAGATCACCATACCGATGTGCCGGGGCATCGGGTACAACATGACGTCGATGCCAAACCAGCTGAACCACGAGACGCAGGAGGAGGCTGGTATGGAGGTGCATCAGTTCTGGCCACTGGTCGAGATCAACTGTTCGGCCGACCTTAAGTTCTTCCTGTGTTCCGTGTACACGCCCATTTGCATCGAAGAGTACCAACGACCACTGCAGGCGTGCCGGAGTGTGTGCGAACGTGCCCGCGACGGATGTCTGCCGGTTATGCAGCGGTACGGGTTCGTTTGGCCGGAGAAGATGCAGTGCGACAAGCTGCCAGTGCACGGCGGCCCGGAATTGTGCATGGCCCAGGACGTGTACGAACAGCAGCAGCACGTTCCAGTCAAGCCGACCAAGAAACCAACCGGGTCACCGGCCAATAAGTGCAAGCCGGGTAGCAGGGCCAAGGGATGCGAGAAGTATGCGTTTGGCGGCGGTGGTATTGGCGACGAAGACGGGTGCGAGTGCAAGTGCCGGCCTCCACTAGTGGCCATCGACAGGGATTCGGTCCGGTACAATCGCAGTGGCGTGTCCGTGGCAGGCGTGGACAACTGCGCGATGCCGTGCCGAAGCGTGCTGTTTACCGACGAAGAAAAAGATTTTGCGTCCACTTGGATCGCCCTGTGGTCGAGCATATGCTGTGTGACCACGTTGATGACACTTACCACGTACACTATCGACACGCAGCGGTTCAAGTACCCGGAAAAGCCGATCGTGTTCCTCTCCGGTTGCTACCTGATGGTCAGCCTCGGGTACCTGATCCGAGTTTACTCAGGCCACGACGCTGTCGCCTGCGAGCCCGACGGTTCTGTCAAGTACAACGCGTCTGGGCCCACGCCGTGCACGCTTGTGTTCCTGCTACTCTACTTCTTCGGCATGGCCTCTTCCATCTGGTGGGTCATACTGGCGTTCACATGGTTCCTGGCGGCTGGACTCAAGTGGGGAAACGAGGCGATCGCGTCATACTCACAGTACTTCCACCTGGCCGCTTGGCTGATACCCACCGTCAAGTCACTGGGTGTGCTGGTCATGTCGGCCGTCGACGGGGACGCATTCGCCGGTGTGTGTTACGTGGGCAACCAGAACCCGGATAACTTGAAAATGTTCGTACTGGCGCCGCTCGTCGTCTACCTGGCGTTGGGCATATCGTTCCTGTTGGGAGGGTTCGTGTCACTGTTCCGCATCCGGAACGTCATTAAGCAGCAAGTGGGCCGCAGCAAGGCGGACAAGCTGGAGAAGCTCATGATCCGGATCGGCGTGTTCAGCGTTTTGTACACGGTGCCCGCCTCAGTCGTCATCGGATGTCACTACTACGAAGCACGGTATATGCCAGACCGTGTGGCCCACCTGGCGTGCCCATGCTCCGAACCGGACCCTGACACCAAGCCGGTGTACACCATGCTCATGCTCAAATACTTCATGACGCTGGTGATGGGTGTCACGTCAGGCGTGTGGATATGGTCTGGCAAGACGGTCGGCTCGTGGAAGCGCCTGTCCCGTCGGCTGTTTGGTGGAGGCGGAGTTGGTGGCGGAGGCGGCGGGGGCCGCATGTCTAAGGGCGGTCCCAACCCGGTGCTCGTCAATCCGGGAAAACAACGCAAGCAGTTGCAGTACATGCCGGCGCCGTCCGTCCCGGGTAGCACGCTGCCCTCGTCCCACCACCTGGCCCCATCGTCCAGCCTACACCACCACATTATCAAACAGGCTCCGCTTAGCCACGTATGACATCAGTACGCCACTCCTGCCCTTAGTTACGAGCAACCAGACCCGTCCGAGGACATGATGCCCTCTACCACGGGGCTCAGTGACTATGGTCCTCTTTAAAGGGTCGGCAGGAGGAACAATGATGAACCGATAACCCATCAGAAGCATAAAATATGATCTCGATATGTACTTTAATTATTATTATTATTATTTTTATTATTATTTCTGTACAATATACCTCCTACTAGAACAGACGAACCTCCCACCACATTTATAACCTAGAACCGGCATTGGGAACACATCACATCGAAAATAGACGTGTCTTTTTGTTTACAATAGGTACCTACGTGGTTCACACCAAAAATAGTAAAATATAATGTAACTCCATCGTTAAACCAAATTACTTACGTGACGTTTTCGACTGGTTTGACTAGTTAACAAATCAAAACAAAAAAACTTGTAGCTACCCCGTCGGCCTTAGGTTTATTTTCTGGTGCTTTCCCCATTCAATTTTTATTTATGTTATTTTTATTCTGTAAATAACTTTAAATTTAAGAAGCGTATACTAGTCGTAGAAGTTAAGTTGTGTATTTTTTTGTTTTGTGTTAACATTAAGGAATCCTTTTATACTGTAATTAATGTAAAAAGGAAAAGACAACATTCGGTTACCCGAAATTACTATAATTAACTCTTTTTTTTCCAAAGAACAAATAACAGAAATATGACTTGTCCAAACTCGTGCAATATAGTATATGATTCCAATGATTTATTTGATGAGTATATAAACTTGATTATTTGTAAGCCAATTTATTTATATTAGACGTTTTTTGTCTCTTTTACTGCCCATATATGATATATACGAAAAACAAACTGTATACGTAAATTTTAAGTGATAATATTATTATAAACATATACGTGTAAGTTTATTATTCATGCATACAAATTATTTATACTATTTATAATATATATTACTGTATTGTAGCAGAAAATACTGTACATAATATAATATGTTTTAAATAAAAATTGTACATTTCATGTTTTCATAATTTGGTGTAAATTTTTTGACTCCGTGAACTAACAATAAAAAAAACCTAGAGAATCTCATCATTAATTTCAATGAATGGACTTGAATTTAAATTATTCTTAAAATGAAATATTTTCCATGAATTTTCCTTCATTATTTCTTAATAATTTAATTTTTTTTAATTATATATTTTAAGCAGCCAACCTGCCAACAGGTTAATGACTCAATGATTGGATAATGATTAATGAATTAGTCATAATAAGGTAAATACTTAAGTCAAGCTTTTATGACAGTGTATGTGAATGTAATATACAACGTTTAATACTTAATACCTATATTAGGTATAGTATATAATTCGACATACATTGATTTTATTTTTTTACGGTACCAATGTGTTACTTCGGTTACTACAAGTACCTAGGTACATCATTAATTTTTTTAAACAAACTCAATTATCAATGTTACGATAATATTGTACATTTTTTTATACAAGGTGATTTTTTGAAAGGTTTTTTTTTAGCATCGTTCACACAATAATAATATGCTGAATAAAAACAAAATGTGTTTTTATACCTTGTTATATTCAATACGTTATTACTTGGTCAGCGTTATACGATATTTTAACTTTTCTTCGCGTGTTGTGTCAGCGACCAGCGTCACATATTATGTACGTATAATTGCAAACGTAAGTGCAAACGTAAGTGCAAATCGTATAGGTACCTACATGGATAATTTTAATTTCTAATTTAAAAGCAATCCTTCAAGGAACACGAGAAAAGCTGAGGATCCTATTTGTATATAATGATTCGCAGCTTTTTACGCTTAAATCAAATAAAATTAAATATTAAACTTTATTAAACTCCGATTTTACCATTCAAAAATTGACGGACGGTGCAGTATTTCACCAAAACTTAATAGTTAATACATTTGGACTTCACAATCTTAAATACACGTTATAATAATTTATAGATAATTTGAACGAAGTTGCATAGTTATTCTAAAAATCGTCATAACGTCAACTTTACTTAACTTCCTACGTTAACTTGGATTTTACAAATGCATCAATGATGTATTCAGTATTCTATACATGCACTAGGCATGTCATAATAATAATACAGTAGAAGAGGGGTGGCTAACCCAAACGACCTTGTGGGCCATTTTGAAAATGCATTAAAATTCCGCGGACCACATAAAAAATTAGATTAAAAATATTATACGACGTATTCTGATTGACCGTTGTGATCGCGGTATCCATTCGCTAACCACGGTCTACCAGAAAATTCCTGGAGTTGAGCAGAGCACAATCTACGACAGACGACGTAGCTGTAAACACGGTTTTAAACCATGAACACGGTGGTTGTCGAATTTACGTATACTGCGGTCACACCGTCCGAGTTTATACCACGGTCGAAGTGACCGCCGCGGGCGTCCGAACAACGGTCATACTGTCCCGTTGTCCACCGCGCCGTGCTGTCCAACTCTCAACTTATCTCGATCAAACCGTTTTCACGTCACCGTTCGCAAAGTGTTGAGCAGTGGCACATTACCGTAAAATTAGTTTAATAATCACTTCCGGTTACATGAAACGCGTCGCCAATTTTCCTAGGGTTACGGGTGGGACACAAGGGGCTGTTAATTATATTATTCACAGGTTCCTCGTACTGAGACAGCTCTACGACACACAGCTGGTTCAGAAATAATTATATTCGCACGTATTATATTTTCTGGTGTGTCGTATGTACCTTGCATATTTTGTAAAATCGAAATAGATCCTCGACGGTCACGTGATAGATTATACTAAATAGAAGATAATTGATACATTATTGATTTTGACAGTTGTTATGGGTCGACACTCTCTTTCCGCTCGGCTCCAACGTATTAATTACGAATATTCGTTTGGTGTGAACTTCAAAATTACATGCTGTCCAAAGCGTATATAGTCGTGTTCGAAAAAATTTAATAGGTTGATACTGTGTATGTTCTACGTTTAAAAACGAACACGCTCTTCACCGTTATTAATGTAATGGAATTAAATCTGAAATTTCTATTTTTAATTAAAGTTTATCTCAGATAGTTTTTTTCTACATCAATGAATTATATTTTCAAAGAAAAATATATATATTAATTAAATCTCATATTATGCTCGATGTATATGTTTTCTATACATGGGCAACGGCATCTGCAGTTTTTTTTTTAAATTACTATAAACATATTATAATAATAGAGTACTATTTTAATTCGAAAAAGTTGTAGTGTAAAGATATCAAATTAAACAATATACAAACACGATAAATTCAATTACAGAGGTCGGCTTGTGGTCAAATAAATATTATATTTACACATCAAAATAAAAAAATAACATAAATAATATCACAAATATAAGATTTATTAAAGGTAAATTTATTTAGTATACTTGGGAACTTTTGTCTATTGTGGCTTTACTTGTTAAATCCATCACGATTTATTTTAAAAGTATTTTCATATTATTGAAAATCATAACTGTTATTTTTATTTTATTTTTGTAATACTTTTTATTTCAGAAAATATATTTGTGACCGTTTAATTTGGATTTTACTCCTCTTCCAATTTTGTTTTTCTCTTATCGGTATATACATAATATACATATTGATATTGTACACTATATTATAAAATATATTATATTTTATATTGACCATAGGTACCTAATTGTAGAAAAAAAACAATGCATACATATCTGTTTTTTTAATCAATAACAATTTTAAAAAATATTAAAATAAATCACTGAAATTCTATAGATCAATTGTCTTTTTTATTTTCGCCATGAAAGAATTAAATTCAATCAAATTCAATTGTAGAACTTTAAAAAGTAATAAATTATAACTAGGTGATAAATAACAAGATCGATTTAATTTGTCTATGGAAATAAGGAGTGTAGTTCATCTTATTTATTGGCCTAGATAATAAATATTCCCTATTAAAGTACTAAACAGTAAAACCCTCGATAAAAAACAAATATATATTGGTATAGATTAGTACTAATTGATGCCGATTGAGTAATATTGTAAAAAAATACCGTCATTGTATAACGTGTAAGATCAGCAATATTAAATTTATTAATATTATTTGAATTTAATTAGAGGCATAAACATTCTTGTTATCTAAATAATTTCAATAATAAAATACAATTCATATAAGAGTTAGGTACCTACTTGACTTTTTTTCGTATATTTGTCTGATATTCTTCAATAATGTACAAAAATTAGTATAAAAATATTTAACTAAATAACTTTTTTTAAAAATCAATATAGTTTAATACTATTTGATTTTATATCTTTAAGTTTATAAAACTAACAGTAGATGTGGAAATAACTGGTAGATAGTAAATTTATAGTTTACAAATACACATTATACATTAAACGTAAGACGTATTATACCATCTAATATTCTACATGCATAAATGTATATAAATATATTGTACAATATGTATACATTGGTTTCATGTAACTTTTTTTGTACAACTTGTTATCATAGATTTTATACCATTATCCCGAAATGTTCAAAATGTTCCAAAATTAAGACATGAAGAATAAATAGGTAGTATAATATTTTGTTTACAAAGTTAAAGTAATCATAATAATTGTCAAGAAGTTAACAAGAAAAATATTTTACCAGGTTAGTCCATTAATTTAAATGAATAATTATTACGAGATTTACTTCATCTTTTTTTCAGTAGGTGCCTTCGTAAAAAATCCATGCCATTTAATTACGAATAATTTAAAATAATACGAAGTGTAAAATCTGTAACACTGGCTTCTGTTAAGATCAGTGAAGTGATACGAGTGCCAAAATCTAATAACTGTATCTATTCATCAATTCTTTCGTATCCAAAAATAATATGATCAGTTACTAAAAGTGTGATATTTGCTATTACTGAACCAAAATATTTTAAACGTAAACCCAAATACATTGGGTGTAAGATGTCGACCAGAAAAAAATATTGTAAATAAATCATCTTTAATAATAACGGCCAAACGCATATTATTATATTCTAAAATCTATGTAATTTTAATTAAAAATGATTCGTTCGTATTTAATATTTAATGGGCAAAGTTGAATGCTCGTCCTATCTACAAATACATTTTCGAATTGTTTTTTTTTACAGACCACAAGTTATAAATTAATTAAATATTCATTATTAAAATTAAAACTCAAAGAGATGAAAATGTTTAAGATTATCGTTTTTTTTTCTCAGCACTTCTCGTCATCTGTCAAAGTCAGCTCTTATCATGTGTAAAAAGTATTATCTTAATCTAATCATTTTCCATATTGTATGTTAATCAATATATTCGTAATTCGTACTGTGATGTAATCCGTACGATAGTGGTTTAACCACTTTTCATTACTTTGCCGATGATCGGTGTATTATTTCCAAGACAACTGAGGCAGGAATTCAAAGAAAATTATAATTATTATAGGATTAAATGGGGGGGGGGGGCTAAGTTACCACTGTTTCTGCAGTACATATAATGTAGTCTATAGCTATAAAGTGAATTTTGAGAGAATCTATTGTTTGTTAAACTCTTATATCATAACCCCCGAGCCATGGCTAACTCTCGTCGCTATGTGTTT